ATTTCCTAATTCTCAATTGATTACTGAACTAATGTGTTTTTCTGATTTTACAAATTTGGTTAATATGTATCATAATGTGTAGTCTTGGTATTGATGAAATGAGATGTATGTGTAATTGAGAATGCCCAGAATGTGCATGTGTTATTCATCTCGCATGTATTTGGGGTGTGTAAACCATAAAGTGAAGGTGTGAGAATATAAGGACGAAAGGAATATTTGTTAGTTAATATGTGTATGACATTATGTGTAGTCTTGGTATTGATTGAATGATTATTCAATTTTTTTTCATTTGGTTGAGTCGATAAGCCGCCCGATAACCGCCCGATGATTGTTAATTCGATACCAATCCGCCTGTTGTCTTATTGGATGGCTAGCGGATTACTATATTTATAATCCGATAGCTTTTAAGACGAATCGTTAAGTGTAATTATCTGCCCGATAAGCACCCCTACCTACAACTTTAGATGGTCAAAACTTGACCTAATTTTGTGAAACTCGTCTATTTATACAAGGCTAAAAATCTCTGACAAAAATGCCTCTCGGGAGGTTCTACGGCCTCACAATTCCATATGCGGTTCGCATATTTCTTCAGCTGGCAGGAAGTGGAGTTCTGTGGCTGCACATTTCTGAACTGCGGCCGCACAATTCTTGTGCAATCCGCAATTCACAAAGGCTCATGGACTTCGTTTTTTTTGCATACTCTATGATCTTTGACTCTTAGCCTAGATCTACGGCCGTACAATTCATTTGTGATCTGTGTCACACCTCCTTTTTCGCCCGCGCCACCGACAAAGGAGCGCGGTAGGGAGTTTTTTCCAATTAAGGGACAATAAAAACGAGATTTATTTATTTATTTTAGAGTCGCCACTTGGGAGATTTATGGTATCCCAAGTCACCGGTTGAATCCCGAATCGAGGAAAAGAATGACTCTGTTTAACAGTCTGTGCACCAGAAATCCGGATAAGGAATTATGTTAACCCGAGAGAAGGTGTTAGGCATTCCCGAGTTCCGTGGTTGTAACACGGTCGCTCAACTGTCATATTCGGCTTGATTATCTGATATAATACATGTTGAACATATGTGCGAATTTTAACTTTTAACCGCTTTTATCATTATTATTATTATTTTTATCGATAATTGCAACCTCGTGAAAATATATCTCGAACCACGTCACAGTCAATGTACCCGTGGTCATCGACACACTTCGACTCCGTTGAGATTTGGATTTGGGTCACATAAATGTGCACCCGAGTATAGGAAAATAACATTATTAAATACGCGCCTAAAGACTAACGCGTTGTTATTATTTTGGGTAGGGCCGTAAAATTTGCTAAATGGCCCGTCCCGGAATCTAAGTATTTTAAAACAAATAATTATTAGGGCCCCGCAATTTTGTATTTATTTTTGGCGAAGCACGCCTCCTTTATTTTAAGGATATCCTAAAATGACTACATTTCTATTAAATTCGTATCTAAAATAAAAGAGAAAAAATCCTAATTAATTACATGCTTAAAAAATGAAACATATTAAATGCTAGGTTAAGACAAATGTTAACGGAAAGGAATATTACTAAAATTGAAATTATAAATATAATACAGAATCGACAAATAATGTATTTAAAAGAAACTAATTATCCCATAACTAGATTAAACTCGCATTGTTAGATGACGTGAACCGTTGCAATTAATTATTTACAACTATTGGAAATTAGAATCAATCTTAATTACTAATGCGTATTTGAAAATTTATTAAATTTAAACATTAACTCGTCTTGTTTGAACTCAAATCATGCCATAATGCCTAATTCACGAAATTAATTTAAATTCATGCTTTAACTAAATTTAGCTACATGTTCACGATTAACCTAATGTTGACAATATTAAAACCTTCATAGCTAGTGAACTTAATCAGTTTTGCCAAGCCGATTCACTAAAGACCAACTTATGTTATTTTCCTCTTATTCCAATTATTAAACAGTTTGACAGTAATGAGCATGCTTAAATATATACTACCTAATAATCAAGTTAAAGCAAAGTATTATTTAATACATTACTACAAGATGCCTAGTTATGCAAAGCGACAGAAATTTACAGAATAATAATACATGAAATAGCCTAAATACAATTATTAAAAGAAAACAAAGAAAAAGCTAAATTAAAACTTCAAAGTTTCATTCTTCGTATGTATTCATGCTTTCACATTTCAGCTTACAATATGCCAAAGTTACAGTTGTGTACCTGGTATTGCCAATACAAGAAGAAAAAGGTCAGCAAAGTAGTATGTAACACAGCAACAACAACAATAACCAGCAACAACCAACAAACGGAACACCCAGTGACAGATTTGAAAACCAAATAAAAAATCCAGCAATAACCAGTGAAGTAGTAGCAAATAACCAACCAAACTCAAGGAACAAACCACATGAAAATCTAGAAACACCAACAATAATCAACGGGCAAAAACAAAGTGCACCTTTTTTTTTAGATTGAAAGACCAGTTAATGTTTAACCCTTAATTCTCTCTTAATGTTCAGAAAATTCTTTCTTTTAAACTCTCTTCAAGTTCGAATCCTCAAAAATCTTTTAATATTTCCGAATTCTTCTCATAATATTCAGCTCCATTTTTTTTAATTATGTCCAAGTCTGCTTTATTTATGCCTCATAACAGACCCCTTAATCAATTAAACAAATAATAAAACAATCCACTTTCTCTTACCAAACCCACTACTACATAAAAAATACAATTATTATTTTATTTAATCAACTTTTCTTGAGCCCTGTAATCCTACTATGTCTTGTTCCCCATTATTAATTAAACAAATGCATTATTCCCCACTACCACATGTCTTGTCCCCCACTATATTATTTTAATACCTTATTTTAATATTATTAGCTTAATGGACAGAGCACTCAAAATAAATAATTGTTCCGATTTTTAATTCCAAAAATACCCCTTTGAAATTACCATTCTACCCCCATCAACTATAACCAATTCACCTAATCAATTCTAACCAAAATACAACAGCTATAACCAATTCCTAATCAAATTCAATCAACAAATTCAAACTAAATGATGAACAACAAAGAAACAACTGGAATTATTTTGACTGAACAAAATTTTTTAACAACAAATCTACTTTCAGATTCAACAACAATAACAAACAAGTATATCCAAATCACTGAGCTCAAATTCAAATTAAACTTAAACAGAACAAATAAACAGATTCAAATCACTAAACTCAATAATCAATTGAACCTCAAACTAAATCTAACAATATTACAACCAAGATGAAGGATTCACGTTATTAAACTAACACACTTCTATATTAAAACTAAATTCTTTTAAATGAATAAAATCAAACTGAAGAAATAATCAAGAAATGATAAACCACGAACAAGAAAGAAACAAACATATACTGATTTCAGATCCGAGAATATCAAGAAAAATACGGACAGAAATGAGACTTAAACCAACTAACCGGATTGGAACAACGACGAACTCGAACGGAAACCAATCTGCCCGGAAACTTTGAAACCAAAATAACTCGAATCTGCCCGGAAATTTTGTATATTTTCCGGTTGATTTCAAGTGATGAAACTGGACGACGAAGACGACCACGAACTGGACGACGAAGACGACCATGAACTAGATGACGAAGACGACCATGAACTGGACGGAAACGATCCGGAGTTCGCCGGACTGCTGCTGGGTGTGAGGAGCAGATGTGTTGCTACTTTGGTGGTTATTTTGGAGGGTTGACAACGAAGAAGCAGCAGCAGCGATGGGGGGTTTGTTTGGACGACGCAGCCAGCCATGGGAGGTGAAGCAGCAGCCATGATGGCTGACTGGTGCTCGACGGAGATGAAGCAACAACAATGGCTGCTAGACATGGAGCGATGGACTGTTTGGTTGCTTGGTGGAGCTCATTTTTGGACTGGAGGTCGACGGACTGGTGAAGATGAAGAAACAACAACCATGGTTGTTGGTCGTTCATGGTGGAGCTGGGCACGAAGAAGAAGAAGAAAGAGTAGCCATGTCGGTTTGGGTGGACGACGACGAGGGGTGTTGTNCCTCTTTTATTGCTTCTTTTTTCTTCTTTTATTTTTTCTTAAACTAAACTAAATTCTAAAAATCATAAATTATCATATAGAACTAAATTAATTTATAAAAGTGCAGATTAACTCTCAATAACAATTAACATACAATTAAATAGCAATTACGATAAAATCACACAATTTGGACATTAAATGCTAAAAATGCAACGTACATTATTTTTATGATTTTTTGTTCTTGTAAAAAAAACAAATTTAATTGCTTCTAATTGTAGAATTAAATTCTAAATGCAAATGCGACATATTTTTGTATTTTTTATTAATTTAACAAATAAACATGCATGTACAAATACAAATAATTATCAAAAAATGCCACAAAATCCTCAAAATTGCACACAAAGGAAAATTGTTTTATTTTGAATTTTTGGGAGTAATTCTCATATAGGGCAAAAATCATGTGCTTACAATCTGCACATTGCTGAAAGTTGTGCTAGATTTTCCTTCTTGGTTTGCAGTCGCAGATGGAATTCTGCGGTCTGCAATTTCTTCGGCGGTTGCATAATTCCTTTTGCAGATCGAACTTTTGTGCTTCTACGCCTTTTATTGCCTTGTGCTTCGGAACACTCCTTTTTGTGTCTGATTTTATCTCGGGCGACCAAACTTCCAGTATTCCTGCAATTTGCACAATTTTATTAGTTTCGGGAACATAATTCAATACGTTCGGACTGAAACAAAAGCTAAAAGGGGCTACTAAGCAGTCAAAATTCCCACTTATCATGTAACCTAATGATCAATAAAATGGGTGGAGAACCATAAAGTGTTAGGTTAAAATCCGAATAGAAACAAAAAGTAATAGGTTATTTGTTCATATTTTTTCGAGTATTGATGGACAGAGTTAGGTGGAGGTAGCTCGTATCCATTTTATACAAAATTAAGGATTAAATAATACTAAAACCTATAATTCAACGATTGCAATCTGCCCCTAAAACCCTCACACTCCGAAGTCCAAACTAAAGAAAATCACCGCCAAATATTCCCAGAGTTTCTGCTCAGACATGGCGGACGAAGAAGCACTCTGTGAAGCAGCTGGGAATGGAAACATCAACGAAATCAAATCTCTAATTGAGTCCGGCGCCGATGTCACCTACTTCGATAAAGGCGGACTTACTCCGCTGATGCACGCCGCCAAGCACGGCCACGCCGAGGTGGTAAAAGCTCTTCTCGATGCTGGTGCCCCATGGAATGCCTTATCTCCTTCAAATGTCTCTGCCGGTGACTTCGCCATGGACGCTGGTCATCAAGACGCCTTTGACGTTCTTCTCAATTCCGGTGCTTACTTTTAATCCTTGTATTCTGTTTCTTATAAAACATCGTAAGTTATTAGAAAATTTATGTATTATTCTAAGTGAGATGGAATGTGGAGTAATAATATGTGTATTAGCAATACCCGGATAAGACTGACTTAAATCACATTAATACTCTTGAAGTAACGGGACTAGTTTTGACATTACATTTCCGGCATAAAAAACCCTGTTTTATTATCCAATGCATAATACTTCATGTATTCGTGAACCAATCTACCTGTTATTCTATCTTATGTGGCTGACAGCTTTAAACTTACTATTTTGTAGGCATAGGTAAATTATGTAGTCCCTCCATCTAATTTTATGTGATGTTTTCTGACTAGGCACTAGTTTCTGTATATTGATGTCTATATTATATTAGTGGTAGTGAAAGAATATATCTAAGTAATGGTTGCAAAACTTAGTCTGATAAACTCATCAGTTGGGTGGTGTCGAACATATTGGAACATCACAAAATGGAAAGAGTGTCAGATTTTTAGGGACGGAAGGAATAGTTAGTACTCAGTAAAGAAATGACACAAAAACTAACTTATAGAAGTATATAATTTATATTTATTGTTGCTTTCTTTAATAAGTACTAGTTGTATATATTATTATCATTAATGTTTGTCTATTTTCCCCAACCTGATATTATCGGATAGAGATCTATTGAAAAGTGCGTTTGAAGCCATTACTCGCTTTTATATCATGTGTAGTTCAACTAAAATTCTGAAGCTGCTTAGCTTAATATTACTGATCAAACATGTTTACTCTTCATTATATAGCAATCCAGGCAGAGTTAATCCTTGGGACAATCGCAAGGAAAGAAAATGCAAAGGGGAACTCAGATGGGGACTATTTAGAAGATAGAGTTAGTTTCAGTGAAGATAAGATTATGGATGCTGATAGCAAGGCTGTTATGATGGCTTGGGAGAAGCCATTGATGGAAGCTCACGCGAAGGCTGTCTGCTCAAATGGTGGCCACATACTGAACATTGGATTTGGGATGGGCCTCGTAGATACTGCCATACAGCAATATGCGCCTTTGTCGCACACTATCATTGAAGCTCATCCAGAGGTCTATGATCGTATGATACGCGCCGGGTGGGGTGAGAAGGAGAATGTGAAAATCATATTTGGTCGGTGGCAAGATGTCATTTCAGTACTTGAATCTTATGATGGTAAACTCCTACTTCTAGCCTTCCCAACTTTAAAAGAAGAAAGAAACTGTTTACTCAACATATGCTAATAATACACTTGCTTTTGATTTTACTGCTGTGTTGCTTGTGTTGTGAATTTGTTCTTTATAGATTTTCAGTTATTTAAATAAATAAATCACTTTCTCTTATCATAGCTATAAGCTACAAAGGGAACATGAGGATATCCTACTTCAAAGTTTCACTGCACTTAAGTTTAGCGTGGAAAACTTGAAAACCTTGAAGGAAACATCCCATCAATGTAACAACAACAATACACCCTGTGTAATTCCACAAGTGGGGTCTGGGGAGGGCAGTGTGTACACAACCTTACCCTACCTTGTGAAGGTAGAGATGCTATTTCTTATAGATACTCGGCTCAAGCAAAGCAGAGTCATAGAAGCTTTTAAAAAGAAATGCAATAGTGGAGAAGCCATGGAAGAGAAGCATCATTCTTGTCATCATCAATATCGTCAATGTATCATTTGTAAATATCAACTGATTTTACTACTAAGTATCCCATGTTTATAGTTTGTGCATCATTCTTGTTATCATGAATACTTGATGCATGTTCTTCAGGCTATGTATGCACTTGCAAATTTTTTATTATTGGGTGTATGAACTTAGAGACACAGTTGTACATAAAATTAATTTCCTCTCTAAAATACTTTGTAGGAGGTTGGGAGGCTATCCTCTTAAATGTTTATCTTCACGAGGGAGTAATTTCTTTCGAGCTAATAACTGTTGATTTGATATGTTGATTCTTGTCGTTCCAATGACATTAATGCCTCACAACCAAAAATATACTATAGACGGTAAAATCCAGTGTTGTAAAAAGCGTGCGCTTCTCGCTGAAGCGACGCGAGGCTAGTTTGCTTTTCTGCCATAAAAGCGACTCACATGAAAAAAGCGCACGCTTTATCCTGTTAAGCGAGAAGCGCAGCGATCCAAAAAGCGCGCTTAAGCATCTGTTAGGGTTTTTTTAAAAAAAAATTGGCAAAAACTTAACGCAAACAAACACTTCTTCTCCAAGCGATTGCTGCTCCAACGACCGCTGCTTCAACGACTGCTTCAGTGCTTCTTCTCTCCTTCTCTTCTTCTCTTCTTCTCTTCTTCTTCTCCTCCTCCTTCTTCTCTTCTCTTCCTCTGATTTTCTTCAGTTCCTGTTTGACTCCTTTTCTCTTTTTTTTTCTATTTTTTTCCACTTTTTATTGCTCTGTTCTTGTGCGGTTGTGCCCTAATTTTTGCTTTGTTCTTTCTACGCTCTATTTTTCTCTTCTTCTTTCTATTTTTTTCACTTTTTATTGCTCTGTTTTTGTGCCCTAATCTATGCTCTNTTTTTTTTTGTGTGGTTGTTGATTGTAGTAAATTCAATCTTATTCAATGGCATCAAGCCAAAAAAGAGATCCAGCTTGGGCCTATGGAGTTGCAATTGGCAGTACTAACACAAAAGTGCAATGTATCTTTTGTCAAAAAATTTATAACGGTGGAATACATCGTCACAAGAGACATCTAATTGGTGGTTTTAGAGATGTCAAAGAATGTCCAAGTGTTCCGGATTCTGTTCAGCAAGAAATTAAAGACTGTTGAGAAAAAAAATGAGTTAAAAAATCCAATGAGCCATGGAGCATCTATGATTAATCTTCTTGATGAAGATAGTCAAATGGATGAGGATGACCTTGAAGCCAATGATATAATGAGGCCACCTCCATCTAAATCTCAAAGAAAGAATTCAACAAGTGGAAGTGGATCATTCACCGTCGGTAGCAATGTGAAAGGTCCTCTTAATCTTTTTTTCTCACAAAAACCAAATGAAAAGAGAAAGGGTGAAGCTATTGACTTAGATTATTGTAGGAAGACTTTAAGGGAGCGCACTGTAGATTCTTTTGCAAGGTAGATGTATGATGCGGGGCTCCCTTTTAATTGTGTGAATTATACCGATAATTTTGGTGAATTCATTGAGGTCGTAGGCCAATATGGCCCAGGAATGAAGCCCCATACCTATCACGAAGTAAGAGTTCCTTGTCTAAAAAAGGAGTTGGAGAAGACAAACAAGATTGTCGAGGAGCATAATGCGCAATGGAAAATTTATGGTTTTTCCATTATGATGGACAAATGGACTGCAAAAAATGAAAAAATGGCCATTAATGTTTTGGTGAATTCTCTGAGAGGTAGTGTGTTTCTTGAATCTTATGATGCTAGTGACTCCTCAACTGATTCTAATAAAATGTTCAACTTGTTTGAGAAGACACTATTGAAAGTTGGACCGGAAAATGTGGTTCAAGTTTTGCTAAGGCGATCAAGATACATTCTTACATTAGTCAAAGGCCGTTGTTGTTGAACATGATGAGGACATACACAAAACAAAGAAATTTGGTGAAACCGGCTAAGACAAGATTCGCAACAGCTATCTTGACCTTGCATAGCTTTTACTTGCAAAAGCAAAATTTGCGAACATTGTTCTTGTCAACCGAATGGAGTGAGAGTATCTATGCAAAGGAAGCTCTTGGGAAAGAAGTTGCGAGATTTATTATTGGTCCATATTTTTGGAATGACACTGTTCAAGCACTTAAAGTTGGTAATCCTTTGGTTATTGTACTTCGTTTGGTGGATGGGGAGAAAAAACCAACAATGGGATACATTTATGAAGCCATGGATAGGGCTAAAGAAGCTATTGAGAAGGCATTTGATCATGGTAGGAGGAAATATGAGAAAGTGTTTGAAATCATTGATAAAAGGTGGGATGATCAGCTTCATCAACCTTTATATGCAGCAGGGCATATTTTGAACCCCGAATTGTTTTACACAAACAATGAGAACAAGACTTTAGATTTAGACGTTTGGAAGGGGTATCATGCATATGTTGCGAAGTTGGTGCCAGATGAAGCGATGCAAGACAAAATAGGGCAAGAGCTTGGTGTGTATATGCAAGCCGATGGAATTCTTAGATTAGCTTCGGCCATTAGAGGCAGAACCAAATTGGCACCGGGTAAGCAAGTTTTTTCAATTGTTTTACTCTTTAGAGCTTTAACTTTTAAGTTATTAACTTCTAAAATAATACTTCTACAGTTGAATGGTGGATGCAATTTGGTTATGAAGTTCCAAACTTGCAACAATTTGCTATTAGAGTTCAAAGCTTAACTTGAAATTAGAGTGTTTATGAACATGTGAGAAGCTATATTACATTATTACTAAATTAAAGTTTATCTCAATTGTCCTAAGTACTCCTCTTAATTACTTTCTACATCTTATTATGCAGATTCATACTAAGAAGAGGAACATGCTTGAGCTAAAGAAACTCAATGATCTCGTGTTCGTAAAATATAATAGAACATTAGCTCGTCGTTACAAAGCTCGCAATATCATTGATCCAATTTTATTGGATAACATTGATGAAGCAAATGAATGGTTAACCGGAGCCCCCGAAAATCATGAAGAAGAAGTGTTTGAAGGAGAAGGTCTCACTTTTGGTCATGTTGCTTATGGCAAGTGGAGTTGAAGAGAATGTTTATGGTTTTAGGGGAAGTACTTTAAGGAGCAAAGAAAGAGTATCTACAAGTACAAGTACATGTACAAGTAGAACCCTAATTAATGAAGCCTCTCCGATGAAGAAGAAGATGATGATGACCAATATAATAACTCGAACATGATTACACTTCAAGAGTTTGGAGATCTTGTTGAAGAATAGGATGTTGCTCCTTTTGTGATTTTGTTTTGCATTTGCTTAATATGTTATGACTTTTGAGGATTATTCACTATTTAGTTTTAGTATCTATTATTTGCTTCTTGATTCAAGAATTGAAACATTTGCTTAATATGTTATTTTTAATGAGTTCTTAGCCATTTATCTATGCCTATTTTTTTTTTAATTTATGTGTTAAATTGCGCTTCACATGAAAAAACGCGCGCTTCGCTTCTCGCTTCGGTGAAGCGAGGCCTCGTCGCTTTTTTGCGCTTAACGCTTTCCAAAACACTGGTAAAATCTATTATCAACCAGGGAAGGATCGTAATAATAAAATGAAGAGCACATAGTAAACAAAGAGAGACAGAGGGCGGTGGTTTTATTGATAGTGCCTGTCCCCAATCGTTACAGGGCTTCGTTGAAGCAGAAAGGTACAAAGTATTCTATCTAGTAAGAAAATTAAAGGTTGCAGCGGTGGAAGTTGTAAAATGAGCAGTGTAATTGTTTTTGTGACTAAGCTGATAGTAGTATGTTTGGATGTTCGATTGTGGAAGGTCTGACTACCCATTTGTAGAATAGGAGACTTGGTTATCTCAGAGTCCAAGTACCGTTGGAGTCTTTAAAGACAAAGATGTGAGTTAGTTGGGTAAGACCGTGACCAAATATCTCAGGGTTGGTTGAGGAATCCAGTGGACTCTCAGCCTTATTCCTTTGGACTTGAGCGGAGACAGTAACATCAGTGAGCTATGGTTTGAAAAAGCGATCGCTTCGTCGCTTTAAGCGCGAAGCGACCGGCCATCGTTTTTCCCAGCCTGAGGCGACTCGATCGTGTGAAGCGTGCGCTTCAGTTGAAGAAGCGACAGAAGCAACGAAGCGATCGCTTCTGTTAAAAAAGCGCAGAGGGCCCTTTTTTAAAAAAATGTTTGCGTCTGTTTTTTATTATACAAAACAGACCCCTAAGACCAAAATTGACCATTTCTTATTCTCTCTTCTTCGATCGACAAAACCTAGGGTTTCAAGATTCTGCTATTTTTTTTCTTCTTCTCCTTTCTTCCGTTGAAGAAGACTCGACCATTGCTGACCAGTGACCAGTCCAGTCCAGGTAATTTTCTTCTTCTCCTTTCTTCTTCTCATTTTTTTCTTTCTTCTTCTTGTTCCCGTCCAGATTCTGCTATTTTTTTCTTTCTTTTTCCTTCTTTCTTCCTTCTTCTTCTTCCTTTATCTCTGAAGTCTGACCAGTCCAGCGTCTGCACAGCTAGGGCAGGCACTAGTTTTCTTTCTTTCCCCGCCTTTTATGCNATTAGTTTATTTGATTTTTTAATGTGTATTTTAGTTTATAAAATTAATTATTATATATATATTATATGTATTTTCAGTTTATTTGATTATGTATTTTCTTATATCTTAATAACAACAACAACAACCCAGTATAATCCCACTTAGTGGGGTTTGAGGAGGGTAGTGTGTACGCAGACCTTACCCCTATCCTGGGGTAGAGAGGTTGCTTCCAAATAGACCCCCGACATCCTTCCCTCTAAGAACTTCCCACCTTGCTCTTGGGGAGACTCGAACTCACAACCTCTTGGTTGGAAGTTGAGGTTGTTTACCATCAGAGAAACCCCTCTTGTCTTCTTATATCTTAATAGGGATTTCAAAATGTCTCAAAGTTCAAAAGAGAAAGACCCGACTTGGCGATATGGCGATAGAGTTAATGAGCAGAATACAAATGTTGTATGCAAGTTTTGTAACAAGATTACAACAGGTGGAATTTATCACTTTAAATTCCATCTTATTGGTGACGATAGAAACGTCACAAGTTGTCCGAAATGCCCATCGGAGGTGAGGGATAAAATAAAGAATTTTGTTGAGAAGAAGAAGGAGCAAAAAAATCAAATGAGTCATCAACCATTGGTGACCAATCTTGATGATGATGATGATATTGAAGAATTGTCACTTTCGACAAAACGGGGAAGAGATGCAATCTCTTCAAGCCATGGATCATCGACGGGTACGAGTAGGATTAAATGTCCTATAGATTGCTATTTCCCAAAAAAGCCGGAAGCAAAGAGCGGTGGAAAAGATGTACAAAAAATTGCTAAGGACATTTTGAGGGATCGTGCAATTAGAGCTTTTGCACGATGGGTCTATGATGTTGGGTTCCCCTTCAATTGTGTCAACTATGACACTTGGAGACTTTATTGAGGCCGTTGGTCAATACGGACCTGGAATGAAGCCTTCCACTTATCATGAAATTAGAGATCCTTATCTAAATAAGGAAGTGGAGGAGACTGATAAAATTGTTGAGGAACATAGAGTTGTGTGGAACAAATATGGCTGCTCCATTATGATGGATAAGTGGACGGCAAAAACTGAAAAATGATTATTAATGTGTTGGTGAATTATCCCGAGGGAAGTTTGTTTCTTGAGTCCATTGATGCTAGCGACTCATCCACTGACCACATCAAAATGTTCACATTGTTTCAGAACACCATTGAAAAGATTGACCCAAGCAAAGTTGTTCAAGTGGTCACTGATAATGCGAGTGAAAATGTGAAAGCGGGTGGCATGGTGGAAGGAGCGTACAAGAATGTCTATTGGACTCCATGTGTTGCTCATTGTATCAACTTAATATTCGGGGACATTTTCAAGGAAAAGCCCTTCTCTACAGTTTTTAGCTAGGGCGTTAGGGTACATTCTTATATTTCTCAGCTGCCCTTGTTATTGAATATGATGAGAAGATTCACCAGACAAAAAAATTTGGTGAAACCGGGCAAGACAAGGTTCGTCACTGCTTTCTTGACTTTGAATAATATCCACTTGCAAAACGCCAATTTGAGAAAGTTGTTCACTTCAGAGAAATGGAGCAAGAGTAAATTTGCAAAGGAAAGTGCGGGAAAGATGTTGCACGCATTATTCTTTCTTATTCTTTTTGGAATAATGTCCTTCATGCTCTTAAAATTGGTGGCCCTTTGGTTAAAGCACTCCGTTTGGTGGATGAGGAGCAAAAACCACCAATGGGCTACCTCTATGAAGCTATGGATTGGGCCAAGGAGGCTATTCAAGCATCATTCACTGATGAGCAGACATATGCAAAGGTCTTTCAGATCATTGATGCAAGATGGAGTGAACAACTTTATAGACCTTTGCATGCAGCTAGACTTATTCTGAACCCGTCACTCTTTTATGATCAGCATGAGAATAATTCATTGGCTAGAGAAGTGTGGACAGGATTCCATGAGGTTGTTATCAAGTTGACCCCAGATGAAGACTTGCAAGAAAGATAGTAGATCAACTTGCTATTTACAAGGCAGCTGAAAGACTTTTTAAGCCCCGAATTGCTATTAAACAAAGAAAGACGAAGTCGTCAGGTGACCAAGTGTTTCTATATTTTATAGCTCTAACTTTAATGTATTTTTTATACTTATTTAACTCTTGAATATTTTTTGACTTCTATAGTTGAGTGGTGGGACCAATATGGTATAGAGACTCCGGATTTACAGACTTTCGCCATCAGAGTTCTAAGTTTAACTTGTAACTCATCCGGATGTGAAAGGAACTGGAGCGTTTTTGAACACGTGAGAAATAAAAAGAATTATTTTGTGTTTTGAGATAAAGTAAATTATATCTCAATTGTCCCAACTCCTACTAATTAGTTGACACATCTTGTTTGCAGATTCATACAAAGAAGAGTAATTGACTAACCTTGAAGCGCCTCTATAATCTAGTGTTCATAAAATACAATAGAGCATTGAGGCGTCGCTACAACCACCACAATCTAATTGATCCAATTCTTTTGGACAATATTGATGAGGCTAATGAGTGGCTAACTGTAGTCCCTGAAAATTGTGAAGATGAAGAAATATTTGAAGGCGACTCTAATTTCACTTGGGGTGATGTTGTGGTTGCTAGTGGAGTTGGGGAGAATCCTTATGGTTTAAGGGGGAATACTTCAAGTTCAAGCTCGATTAGGAAGGGAAAAAGTTTGGCTACTACAAGTCGATCCCTATCCCTAATTGATGAAGATGAAAGTGATCATGAAGAGGAAGAGGAGGGGGAAGAAGAAGATAACGAGCAATATAAAGATAATAGAGGAATTCAAGATTTTGACAATCTTGAAGAAGAACAAGAAGAGTAGAAGAATAAGATGTTGATTCTAGTAATTTAGTAGCTTTGATTTTGGCTTGTCCTATGGTTTGTGGAGGATTTGGTGGTACATAGTACATGTTGTGTCTTTGCAAGGTTTACATTATGTTTTTTAAGAATTGCGCTTCACTTTAATAAAGTGTGCGCTTCGCTTTTGAAGCGAGGCGAGCCCTTGTCGCTTTTTTGCGCTTATCGCTCTTAAAAACACTGGGCCAGGCATGTGGAGGTCGTGATTCATGGCCAAAGATCCACGTATTGAAGTTCCTGAGCGTAGCACTCTGGTGTGATTGTGGTCGTGTAATCGATCGTGGAATATGTCATACAATGAGATAGATTCTGCGGCTCTTATCATATAGGAGTTGGTTCAGGAACGTCTAGCTAAATACGTAGCAGGCACGATTTATTTTTGACCACTACACATATAATGCTCTATAACTTGCAAAAACAATAACACAACTAATAGAAGGCATGCCGGAAAAAAAAGTTATAGATCTCTGACGTTGCAAACTTGATCATGCGAGTTAATTATTCAAGATCAGGTTTCTTTTGCTAGGTTGAAGTTCAGCTTCTATCTGTTGCCTTCTTTGTCTTAGCTTTGTGATTTTATCTTAATGTGAGTCTACTTTGTTCTGCAGGCATATTTTTTGATACTTATGGGGAATATTACGAAGATATGCGGAAATTTCATCAACATCTTCCTAGATTGTTGAAGCCTGGTGGTATCTATTCATTTTTTAATGGTCTATGTGGAGGTAACCCTTTCTTTCATATCGTCTACTGCCAGATAGTCTCCTTAGAACTTGAGAGTTTGGGATATTCTACGCAGCTGATACCATTACCAGTGAAGGATTGTTTAAGTGAAACAGTTTGGGAGGGTGTTAAACAGAAGTACTGGCAGTTAGATACATATTACCTCCCTGTTTGTCAGTCTATGAGCGAATCAGAATGATATTCTCTTCTAGCAGCATTGATAATGTGGTTTCAGATGAATGTCTCCTAAGCTTCGTTTCTTTGCTTGTTGTGTATGCATTTTGTAACGAATTTAATATTGGTAGTAACTTTCATTTGCCGTTTACTCTTTTAATGGTATCCTTTTCTCAATTTAGCTTCGTAGGAAAAAGAATTATGTTACCTTCTTGATTATGTTGTTTCTTAAAATTTTTTAGGCCATGAATGTGCCGTTACTCCAAGGGAATTATTTAAGTGCAAATTGAGTCGCAAGATATAGTCAATGGCTGAGATAAGCCAGAAAGCCAATTGTATTTATCCATATTGTGTGGCTTGGTACATAATAATCAGGCAAGTAAAACACCAGTCTTTTGGTGGACAAATCAACCAACATTTTCCTTGTCTAGATGCTAGAATTGCCTAGGCCTCTTAATTATAGGTCAGGGCTATTTGTTTAGTTGGTGGAATATTAGAGGAGTAGCTGCTGCACACTAGTAATTATTTTATAGGAATATTTGCACTTGTACATTTGCAGTGAATGACTTAGAATTAGCATAATCATGTCCAACTGAAAGCAATTGGGCTAGCAACAACATGTTGTCCATCTGACCATTCCAGTCGAGCAAAGCTAGTTGTGCCTGATGGCTTGGAACTAGCAGCGAATGTCACAGTGTAGGTTTTCTTTTCGTTCTTTCGACTGAAAGTAAGTGTTTGTGGTTCAACCAGAATCTTCACTTCCTGCATTTCAGAAGAGACTGAGGCCTTGTATGTAGCTGGAGTTCCCACGTTTGTTAGAGTCCTCGTATATCTGGTCACTGTGGGTGCACTACTATTTGCATGTTCGCCCCAGGCCGTTTCCAAAGGAATGGCAAAAGATGGGTAATTAAGGTCAGCAACTCTATATTCCTTATTGTTTTCGCAGGAAATGTCTCGCTTCGCGATGACCTTGATCATACTTGGACTGTAGTCCAGGGCGCAAAGTAAGTTTATATAGTCATCGACTGTGAGATCATACACTAAACCAGGATTCAGAGCTGCTGCTGGATTCACATGTCCAGCGCCATGATCAAATGGTGTAGATGACATTCCTGTTGCAACATCCTCTATCATTTTTCCGTTCTTGTATGTGCTATAACCTGTAGTCATCAGTGCTGACCTTATAGCTGCTGGACTCCATTCTGGATGGGCGGCTTTCATTAGTGCTGCAAGCCCACTTACATGGGGACATGACATGGAAGTTCCAGAGATGATGTTGAAACCCACATTCCTGGTGTCTTCTGGCAAACCTGTAGGTCCAACTTTTCCTGTCCAACCAGCGAGAATATTGACACCTGGTGCTATCAAATCAGGTTTAAGTATCTCCGGTGTGATTGGGTTTGGCCCTCTGGAACTAAAAGCTGCAACGACCGGTGATGGTTGAACACCCAACTTGGTACCTCCAAATGCAATTGTGGTAGTTGGATTACTGTCAGAAGCAATGTACCTTTTGATCAAGTCACCAGCAGTTTGACCAACTGCAGCTGTTGGTATGAGATGTGCATCAGCAACCAACTCATCTCCGTAAGAGTCTGTGTTTGCCAAAATCATCCCTATTCCACCAGCATCTTTGACAACCAACCCCTTCTGTGCCCTTGCGTTCATCCCTCGGTCACATACAACAATTTTCCCAGCAACTTTTTCTGGAATCAGGCTACCACTTGTGCATAAATTGCCATTTGATGCTTGGCTGGCATTTCCAGCATACACCAGTGGCATCACAGAACTAGGTAATGCCTTTCCACTGTAAAGTGATACTCCATTGAATTTTTTTCCATTTCCAATGCTAATATATGCTGGGAATTCACGGTCCATGGTCCCTGCGCCTACAGTAGTTATCCATGGTGCAACGTTGGAGAGGGATCCAGAGCCTGGCCCACCATTCCCAGCCGAGCACGAGATGAAGATTCCTTGAGAAGCTGCAGAAAAGGCTCCAATTGCTACTATATCCCTGTAATAATCAGAAATTGTGCCACCAAGGGACAGTGAGAGTACATTTACACCATCTATGACGGCCTGGTCCATCCCTGCTAGTATGTCGCTGCTAAAACATCCTCCAGCCCAACATACTTTATATGCAGCCACTCTTGCGTGTGAAGCCATCCCACGTGCTGTACCAGCAGCATAACCAAAGAGGCTAGCTCCAGTTACAACCGAGCCAGCTGCTGTAGTTGCAGTGTGTGTCCCATGGCCATCATCGTCCCTTGGTGACTTGGATTCCGTGGTCTCATCAATTGCCCCGAAAGCTGCTTCATAACCTTGTGAGAAAAACCTTGCACCAATGAGTTTCCGATTACAGCTTGATGCTTTGAAGTTCTTGCCAATTTGGCACTCACCCTTCCAGCTCGTAGGGACTGGACCTAGTCCAGTGTCATCAAAACTTTTTGATTCAGGCCAAATACCAGTGTCCAGCACACCAATAGTGACGTCACTCCTTGTTTCAGCTTGAAGAAAGAATGATTTACTTTCACGTCCTTCAAGTCCCAGAAATGTAGGGGATCGAGTGGTATGAAGCTCGTATCTCACTTCCTCGTGGACCGAGAGAATTCCAGGTTGCTGTTCAAGTGATTTGGCTTCATCAGCTGTTAGCTGTGTTGAGTAGCCATGGATTACATTGTTGTAGGTGTAAAGCAGGTTGGCGCCTTCGGATACTGACTTCAAAGATGAGTCATACCACAGAGTATGATCATCAAAATCAGCAGGCATGTTGGACTTGTCCATGTGGATTATGTAAGTCTTCCTCTGGTTCTGGCCAGCATCAACAAATACATGAAACAACACTAGGACTAGTGTTGAAAGAATCATGACACCGGGTCTTGCCATCTTTTCGCGGTTCTTAGTGTCAGGTAACCAGAAAATGAAAGTTCTCTACTGAAAGGGAAGAGTTTCTTTCCTTTGGTAGAGAGGGTTTGGGTGCTAACCGGCTATTATATGAATGCTGATAATGGTTCATTGAGGGGAAATCATGGGGGCTTATTTATAGAGTAGCCAAGGAGTGTTCGAATACAATTCCTTGGCGTCAAGATTTTTATGTTGATCTATGACCCACTTAGTTGAAATATTTGAATCATGTCAAAGATTCAACTATTTAATTTCCCAATCAAATGATGCAGCCTTTAGGAGAATCATTTTTCTATCAATTTGGGGTGAGTGGTGACAATTCTTGTCTGATGCAGATCAAGTGGAAGGTAAGATTGTACGCTGTCTATCAACTCGTGTGTGTAGCTTTTTAGTTTTTACCTTTATACTAACAGAGCAACATGGGCCTCCCAATATATAGTATAGTTCCTATGTTACATATAAAATTATTACTGAAAGGTTATAGAGAAAAAAACAAAGGCCTAAAGTAAAGCAGTATTTCAAGTGCTCTCAGAATTGAAAGGTGCAGTTTTAAAGCAGGACTTGTACGAAGATGTTGCCATCTCTATTTAAGGTCAGACTTCTTTAGAACAACTATTCACCGTAAAAGTCAAGTTTTCTATGGAATCAATCAAAATAATCTTGGATTTGTACACTAACGGAGAGAAGGGATAAGCAAAAAGCAATTGAGTAATACACCGCATATACAAGATCTTTACACATCATTTTCCATATGAGTGGTTTTTTAAATATATCTTTCTCTCTTTTTGGGATCAAATATAGGAATGGTGAGTCTATGAAATTGCTATTCGAGTTGATTTAATAGAATGCATGGATTATTTAAATTTCTAATTGTGATATTTTAGAAGAAAGAAGAGAAGGAATTAGCTCATTTCGAAAGAGAAACGAAAAGTGAAATGGATAAGATATGTGATAATGCTACTTCACAAAACCTCAATTAATTAAGGAAAAGACGTAAATATTGGCCTTGTTTTGTTTCTGCTGTCACATTAAAATATGAGTTGGGATAAGAAGATCGGATGGTCCAAGCTAGATATTGTCTAGTGGCGATATATAGAAAACATAATCATTTTCGTACCATAAGGCCAATGACATAGTTTACTCATATTCCACTAAATAAAACTATCATAATTAATTATTATCAGTATCCTGCAGCTTTTTTGCTCAAAGATTTGCTCTATTTATACTTGTTTTCGCGTATACATATAGGATCTGAGTTGAGGGAGTGAATTCTGTCGAACTTGCGAACCCATACTACTAGTCTATTTGGCCAAGCTTCTTTTTGGCTAAAAGTACTTTTTTTTTTGCCAAAAGTATTTTTGGCCAAAAATTGAGGTGTTTGATCAAAGCTTTTTGAAGGAAAAAAGTGCTTTTGAGGAAAAGCAAAAACAGTTTTGGAGAAACAGAAAAAAATAGCTTCTCTCCAAAAGCACTTTTGAGAAAAATACACTTAGAAGCAGTTTTTTAAAGCTTGGCCAAACACTAATTGCTGCTCAGAAGTGCTTTTCAAACTAATTAACCAAATACAAACTGCTTCTCACCAAAAGTACTTTTGAGAAAAGCACTTTTTGAAAAAAAGAACAACAACAACAACCCAGTATAATCCCACTTAGTGGGGTCTGGGGAGGGTAGTGTGTACGCAGACCTTACCCATACCCTGGGGTAGAGAGGCTGTTTCCAAATAGACCCTCGACATCCTTTCCTCCAAGAACTTCCCACCTTGCTCTTGGGGAGACTCGAACTCACAACCTCTTGGTTGGAAGTGGAGGTTACTTTTGAAAAAAAACACTTCTCAAAATAAGCTGATTTTTGCAACTTGGCCAAACGGCCTATAAAACTACTAGAAGAAAAACCAAATTTAACCTTCTTTTCCTAAGCTAAGTTATGTAATCTACTTGGGATGTGGGATGAAATTAGTGATTTAAGTGGGTGTTTGGACATAAGAATTGTAAAATTCCGATAAAAAGCGAAAAAAAAATTCAAGTGAAAATGATATTTGAAAATTAGAGTTGTGTTTGGACATGAATATAATTTTGGATTATTTTTGAATTTTTGTGAGTGATGAAAATTTTGAAAAACAGTCTTTTGGAGTTTTTAAATTTTCAGAAAATACCAAAATTCATCTTCAAATGAAAATTAATTTTTTTGACTAAATATTGATTTCGAAAAAAGTGAAAAAGATTTCATGGCCAAACGGGAAAGCCACTAACAATCGAAATAGTTTAGGCGCCGAAAAG